AGGTGACAGATAAACGGAGCGTGCTCCCCGGGCACCTGCGGAGAGTAAGTGCATGGCTTTATCTCTATACCAGCTCGATATCTCAAATGGATAACTTGTGTAGCCTCTAATTTACATTAGGCGGGGAGTGAAGCGTGAAAGCTGCGGTGAAGGCCGTGACTCCTCCAATTAATGCAGCTCTGCTTACTGTATGCACAACTTACACTGGGCCCACTGGAATGTAGGAGCGCATACAGTACATCTGCACAAACTAACACTCACTTCACAACATACAACTGGACATCACCATTTAGAATCGCTTTAAGTCAAAATGATCATTTTTCCCCCCAATTTCTGTTTAATGGAGAGATTATTTCAACACATTTCTAATCATAATAGTTTTATTAACTCATCTCTAATAACTGATTTATTTTATCTTTGCCATGATGACAGATAATAATATTTGACTAGATATTTTTCAAGACACTTCTATACAGCTTAAAGTGACATTTAAAGGCTTAACTAGATTAATTAGGTTAACAAGGCAGGTTAGGGTAATTAGGCAGTTTGTTGTAAAATAATGGTTTGTTTTGTAAAGTATCGAAAGAAATATAGCTTAAAGGGGCTAATAATTTTGACCTTAAAATGTTTTTAAATAAAATAAAAACTGCTTTTATTCTAGCTGAAATAAAACAAATGGGATTTTCTCCACAAGACAAAATATTATCAGACATACTGTGAAAATTTCCTTAGCGTCCCACCAGTGCTGATATACAGCCATATCGCACTGCTATGAGTGTGTTTATACAATAGTTCGATGGCACAATCTTGCATATAAAAAAGAAAATTAAACATGTAGAGTCTCAAACATTTTTGTATTAGGAACTACTTTCTTCCGCCATTCATTCACATCTGCAGCTGACGTCAGAACAGCAAAAGCTGTTACTCATTCACCAACGTCACTTCAGAGCTAGTGTTTAAATGATTCTCTATAGTGTAATGTCTAGTGATGACAAAACAGCTGATTTTGCTCACATTTTAGGATTATAAGGCTGAACGTGAAATGAAATGCCATCCGTCTACAGAGATATCTCCCTACAGTCCATTACACTATTTCTGTGTTGCCGTCGGTATTGTGACGGGTGCCAGGTGTCCCAGCATTTACCCGGAGACTTTAAGGAATGAAATAAAAGGAGACAGAAACCATTTCGCTTTTCCTATTGGCCTTTATGCGTTTCTCCTAAGTGCTGTCGACTACATACATGCCAGTCGACGACAATGAGTAGGAAAAAGGAAAATAAAAAGACACTCAAACATCCCTCGCAAAATAAAATGTTACATTATTGAAATAAAAGAATGATACAGCGGTAGAGCGACCATCACACACTTCTCAGAGCTCGCCAGAATTGAACTGAGCTCTCATACATGCGTGCTTACATCTCAAAGGTAAAATTTGGGGATTCACATATATCACATCTAGATATATCTATCTATCACATTAAATTATATTGTTAATAAGCATATCTTTTTAATTAGCATACTGTATATGCAATTATGTTATGTTTTGATTAATAATGACACAATATTAATATTTAATTATAATGAACAATTATAAATAACATTATTACCCATGATATAATATTATAATATGTTTTCATGTAATATGTGGTTGGTGTTGTTTTTAATTATTGTTGGTGTATGGCTTGTTGTTAAGAGGTGGGTTGTATATTTGATCATAATAATATAATAACACTTCATCATAAAGGATTATAGACCATTTTAGGGATGTAAACAAAAGGTCAAAGCATATTTCCTGTTGTACATTTTTAAATTCTATAGCTTCCGAGAATCCAAAAAGAGCCACAGATTGGTAAATAATGTTATGAAAGCTGTTTTAACATTAAGTTAGGATTGAATTGCCTCTTTTTACAGTTATGAAATAGTTTGACAACAAGCAGGAACTGTTCCTGGGCCAGTGACATGACCAAATTGAAATACTCTATAAAACACTTGAAACACTTGGAAGGTAATTGAGTGATAACTAGGGCCAGACAGAATATTTTGGGAGTATATCGTAACTAAAAACTTAATAAATTAAATAAAAAATATTAGCTTTTTAACTTTTATTTAATGTTTTTACAATGCAAATCCAATTAGATGCACTTTTTGGTAAACAAAGCAAGTCTCTCGTATAATGTATCTACTAAAAGACATAAAATATTACTTTGCAAACTATATTGTAAATAAATCAAATTAACATTTTCAAATAAGTCAATAATATTACTAAAAAAAAGTTTAAAAACTGAATAAATAGAAATTTACACACATTTTCACAAGTAAATAAATAGACTCAATGATGGGCCAAAATCTGTGTAAATCTGCAGATTTTTGCGCGGGCAGATTCCATGTGGCCCTAGTGATAACTAAACACCTTAGCCACACCTTAGCAACTACTCTGCACACTTCAGCAAGGTGGCATTGAGTTTTGCTCAGTTTTATACTGTTTCTCTAGTGTTTAGTAATAAAAGTGTTTTCATTTTGCAGTACAGACCCTCATTGAGCTGTTTATTGAATTGGTCATAAAGCTGCTTTGCTTGTACCGCCAGCAGTCGTTCTTCAGACTGATGCCAGACTGTAGGCTCTGTCTTAATGGCAGAAAGCACACGGCTCTCATTAAGAAGCGCTTTGTGTCTTTTTCATCTGATCAATTCTGTCACTGTCCTGAAATTGCCTGTAGAATCGTTTTTCTTTTTCTGTCTCTCTTTTACCTTCACTTCTTCAACAAACAGCAAAAATGACTTGCATAAATGTCATTTCACTCAGGATCAGAAAGTGTGTGTGTGTGTGTGTGTGTGTGTGTGAGACAAACATTACTAGTGAGTAATGATAAAAAAATATATGATTTAGAATAAGGAATTAAGGGTGGCACGGTGACTCAGGGGTTAGCACTGTTGCCTCACAGCAAGAAAGTCGCTGGTTTGAGCCTGGCTGGGTCAGTTGTCAACTTCTATGTGGAGTTTGCATGTTTTCCCCCTTGTTGGCATGGGTTTCCTCCGGGAGCTCCAGTTTCCTTCACATTCCAAACACATGCGCTATAGGTGAATTAAATAAACTGGTGTTTATGGGTGTTTACCAGTACTGGGTTGCACCTGGAAGGGCATCTGCTGCGTAAAACATATGCTGAATAAATTGGCGGTTCATTCCACTGTGGCGATCCCTAAAGAATAAAGGGACTAAGCCAGGGATGTCCAAACTCGGTCCTGGAAAGTTTAGCTCCAACCCTAATCAAACACGTCTGAAGCTAATCAAGCTCTTTCTGGGTATACTAGAAACTTCCAAGCAGGTGATTTGAAGCACGTTGGAGCCAAACTATGCAGGACATCGGCCCTCCAGGACCGAGTTTGGACACCACTGGACTAAGCCGAAGGAAAATGAATGATTGTTGCTCACTTTCCTTTAAAAAATATTGCATGTAAATTTAGCTACTACAGTAAACCAAATGACCTGAACAGTTGAGTCTGAAAGAGAGCCAAACTCAAAAAAATAAAAAAAAATAAAATAAAATTTTACATAAAAGCGATTTAAAACTGATTGTCATTCTCTAATTGTCCCTAATTGTCTGATTGTCAGACTCTAAGTCAGAGTCTCCCTCAAATATCTTATAAAGAATCCTCTCTGCTTCAGTTCTTCCCCCTACAACATGCAGTCATTAATTACATTAAGATGGTCCTGGTGTCCACTATAGTGGACATTAAAACAAACAAGTTAACAGCTTTGAAAGCTAAATGTATTGTTCCTGACACTTTAATAAACAAATATATATATATATATATATATATGTAATAATAACAGTAAAAAAATTAAAAAGCAAAAATGTACATACCTCTCTCCTTCTCATAAAATGTGCTTGATGAATGTTGGCCATTTTGGATGCAGTGTAAGAAGTGGTTTCTAGCATGCCTGCCAATCAAATTACATATCACTAGCAAGACCAGGATGTCCTCTGAACAGTGCAACAGGACTTGACAGAGTAGCTCAAAAAATTCTAAGAAAATTCATGAAAACACAATGTCCACTACAGAGGACACAAGTCAATGAGCGGGGTCTCAGGTTTTATAGTTGGTGGTTCATTCCGCTGTGGCAACCTCTGAATGAATGAATCATTTGACTATATATTTTAAGTACAATTCTTTTTCTTGCCAATCAGGCATGGCGTTAAACACAAATAAATACTACTCCTTCTGCATCATAAACA